GCTCAGGTCATCCCACGACTCTCTGGGATGCTCATGTGGTCCTGGATAAAGAGAAGGATGACCATGGTCACCCTTCTGGAGAAAAGAGACTCTTTGGTATCCCTGTGGAAGCATCACTGGATGGTAGTCCTCTGCCTGGTGCCTCTTCATGTCATTTGTAATATGTGTGGTCCAGGCTGAGTGTCACTGTGTTATCAAACAGCATCTCAGATGGTCAGAGTAGACAGCAAGAGTCCAGACTCTCCAGTCTGGACTCAGTCCAACCCAGTAAGGAATGCTTTTCCCTGTCATTTCTGAACTGAAGTTCCAACTTTTCTAGAGAAATAGAGGCCAAAAGAAGGGAGAAATTATCTGGTATTTCACAGAGATTAAATAATAGTGGCCCAAGAATTCCTCCTTAGCGGGTGACACAAGTGGACGTGCTTTTCAGTCTTCATAAGAATTAACCCCCCAGAAATACACATGTCTTGTTTTATGACTCGAGCTTTGTGCCTGAGCACTTGTGACAACCGCCTGGGAACACAGCCCCAATATCACACTTTAGCAACTGAGGCCTAGATGGGTGGTATCACTTGTCCTCTTAGAAGTAAAATCAGAAATTGGATATAAGTCAGGCTCTGTTTTGGAAGGTGGAAAACTTATTTTAATCTCCATGTAGTGTCTTCATCAGACCCAGCATGTTCATCTCACTAAAACAGGAGCTCAGAGTGGGGTAGCAACATGTAAAAACAGCCAACCCCACACATTTCCATCATCCTTAGAGAGTCCAGGTCTGGACTCTCAGAGACAAAGGGGGCGGACAGCTGAGATACAAGTCAGAAGGAAGGAGCAGTCTGCAGCCTCGAGCCCCTGCCTGGGGCCTGGAGTGACGAGGCGACACCCGCTTCTGAGACTTGGACATGCTGGCTCAGTGTCCTTGTCATAAGAAACCCAGGACAAACTCAAAGACTTTAGCATATTCCCTTAACCACATGCTCACCAACACACCACACATTTTCCTGAACAGTCATCTCTTCATCTCTTTGTTCCTGGTGAAGGGACTTTTTGTTTTAAAGATTTATTTATTATGCATACAAGAGCTGGGGTACATGCCAGAGATGCAAGAGGGTGAGAGGATTCACCAGAGACAGAATAAGGAACAGAACAGGCAGAAGGACCGAAGTACACTGCTGAGGGGAGCAGCAGGCAAAGCAGGAGAGGTCACTGCACCTTGTGGGTTGCTCTCTGGCTGGCTGGGATCAAACTTGTGATACAGAGCCTGTGGATTGCTTCATAGTGCAGTGCTTACCCCCTTGCGCCACCAGGGAGGCCCGTGAAGGACTTTCTAGGTGAAGGACCTGCAGTGTTTTCCGCATGTCCCATTCCAGGGTCTGATAATTCCTTCCCCCTTGGAAGTCCCAGAAAACTAGTGCACAGACTCCTCTTCAGGTTGGTGATGCCAGGGGCCTGAGGGTCTAATCTTGCCTCGCAATGGTGGATGTAAGAATAAATTCTCCAGAATCTGAGGTGTGGAGCTTCTTGTTGGAGCTTCTTTGGGGCGATTAATGATGGAATTGAGACTGTGACAGACCTGGCACCTGGGTGTGGTGAGAAGCTTCGAGGGGAATAGGAGACTGACAGATAAAATGCAGCTTCCCCCTCCTCCATGGGTGACTCTGCTGGTATCAACAAAAATGGGAGCACTCAGCCCCCCAGATGTCTGGTCACCCTGCTGGTCAGACCAGGACCCTTGGAAATCAGAGATCTGAACCCCGGATGGAGAGGGTGATGCATGATCACTGCTGTGCTCACGCTTCCCCACAGGTCAGACTGATCTTCTGTGGTGTCTGTACAGTGGCTGTATCCACTCATTCATTGCATACTCATTGAGTGTCCACTGAGAATCAGCACCGTTCCAGGTTAGGGGAAAGAGCAGCAAGGAAAACAGACCATATTTCTTTGCAAAGAACTCACATTATATTCTCTACAATGGTTCAACAAAAGAGACTGTTCTTAAAATTACTCCAATTGTGGAGAGAGGAACAAAGGAAAAGAACGATTAACCTGGAAATAAGGCCAAAAGAGTACCAAGAAGGAGGCCTTGGGAGGTGAAGATGTGGGAGCCAGTGGTCATGTTGTAAAAGGACACAAGTCCAGCCTCACAGTCCAGAAGAACTCCCACCATCAGGGGCCCCTCCCTCAAATAAGAGAAGTTGGGGGAGAGGTAAAGGGCCTTGTTGCCATTTTCCTGGCAGAGTCTGATGGCCCAGAATCCAGACTGAGGCTCTGGGGTCATGTCCCTGTCCCTCTGTACATTTTCCTGACAAACTCCTAAGTCCCACCCAGATCCTTCTCCCACATCCACTTCAAAAGTATGTCTTCCTGAGGTGAAGCCTCACAGCCCAGGACATGGGGTAAGAAACTGAATCTCCTAAAAGATATGCGTCTCCTGGGGTCTGCCACGGTGCTGCAGGAGGCCTTGACGCCCCAGCCAGATAAGACACTGGCAAGCAGGGAAGGTAAAGGGCCTCACAACGTGGGACTGAAGATTCCTTGTGCCTCACACAATGGGGCTGAAGATCTAACATTCCTTTATTTTTTGTTCTTGGTCATAAAGAGAGACAAAATTTTCCCAAAAAGTACATTAGGCTATAAATTATATATATCAGCAGACTGCAAGCAATTAGCATGGAATATTACCTGTTTAGAAATTAGTTACTACACCAATTCGCCCAATTAACAATGGAGACTATTTATTGTATATATCTGACAAGCAATCCAGCATAACAATTATAGTAAATCTTCTTTTGTTTTTTTAGAAGTTTCCTTTTTATTAGAAGTTTCTTAGGAAAGTTTTTAAATGAAGTTAACTGTGTTAAGAAGTTGTAGAGAAAAAGTTTCTGATAGCGAGCAGCAGCTGGTCTCCGGCTGAAGGCCATGTGAATAGAATAGTCTTTTGATGATGAAGCTTTAGCTGATAGGGATGCACTGGCGGCTATCCACTGTTTTAAATAATTGTCTAGCTGAAATAATAAGTTTTAGTGTTAGGTCTGGTTTTTAATCTATTAACCTTGAAGGCTACCGTCTAGCTGGGACCTGTAGGAGCCAGTAGTCCATGGGAATAAAATACACTAATTGTTTCTGCTTTACACATGACAATGTATTTTTTTTTTCTGCTTACTAAAAATGAATAAATAAGACCTGCTGAGTCTCTCGGCAGAAGATACTTGCACCTCATCCAAGTGTTAGTGTCTCCTCACTACCTCATCCCCTTCCCTTCAGCCCTTAAGTTTCAACCCCTGACAGGTCGCCGAGGAAGTCTCATCCTTTCAGGAACCCCTGACACGACATTTTGCCGGAGGCTGGTCCCCGGCAACACGGGTCACTTATCTCCCATCCTAGGACAGAATTAGTTCACGATGAGCTGTATCTTGATCCGGAGTCACTCTGACTGATAAAAGAAAGGACACATTTATTTGCTGAAAATACAGAACACTGCAAGTATAACTGCATGGATTCAAGTGCAGCCTAGTTCTTTTAGTTCTGTGAGTCACTTTCTGAGGCTGCATACTATAGTAGGAAATCATCATACCTGAACAGTAATGGTGGGGCTGATTGAAGGAGCTAATGGGTGCCTAGTGCTTGGAGAAATTCCTGGTATTTGGTAAACAACCAATAAGTGGAAGTCATATCCTTGAGCTTATTTAAGACATAATGGCCTTGCCATGCAATCACTAAGGGGTGCCTTCTAGAGGTGACAGTGTTCTAGAAGATGAGGACAGCATCTCTTCCATAATCAGAAAGAAGCCAGGGTCATAAGTTCTATAATCATTAGAATGAATTCTGCCTACTATGGGAGGCAGCTTGGAAGTGGATTATTCCCCAGTCTAGCCTCCAGATGGGAACACAGCCCAGCCAAAACATTCATTGCACTCTGTAAGGCCCTGAGCATAAGTCCTAGCAGATGTGAGCCACACAAATCTGAACACAACCTCTGAGATAATGTGTGTGTTGTTTTAAGTGACTGAATATTCTTATAACCACAGAGAATCATTTCAGCTTCATTCAGATTTTCCAGCCAAAGGAATTATTAAAACAATTTAGTTTGATTTTCTAATTGTGGACATGTGGAACATGGCAAGTACTAATAAGAACCAGGTTTCGGAATTGGTAATACTGGCTTTCATTAAGATTCAAATATTTATGGCATCATAATCCATTTTCTCCTTAGTCCTGAATACTGATCTATCTTTCTTAAATTTCACTGAATGTTCAATGACATGTTAACAATAAACATTACGGTGCAGATTGTTCTAAACACTTTACACCTATTGCTGCATTTAATTTTCATGAAATCTCAATTAAGATCTGTTCATATTCGTATTTTCCAAAAAGGGAAAATGAGGTAGTGGTTGGCCTGGCTGATACAGCGAATCAGCGGGAGAGGAGGGATTCGAAGAGCCTGAAGAGAGAACAGTTTGCCACTTCCCTGTCTACACCCAAGGAGCATGTTCCTGACCCACTGAAAACAGCTCAGCAAACTCTCTGCCTACGAGTCTGAGCAGGACAGGTAGGAAGTTTGGCTACCACGTAAGGGGCCTTTGCTGTGAAGCATGAAGGCAGTTATTTCCTTCACATACCTTGGTAGGTCTTTAACAGTTTCCTCAAATCAGAGTAACGCTCAGAAACATTGCATGCAGTTTGAGGGTCCAGAGAGAGGTCCTCTGGTATTTCAGCTCCACATCTGAATGGCTAGAATAAACAGACAACAGACTTTCTGCAGTGGACGTTCCATTCAGCTCTGGACCCAGACACTTCCTCACTTCCCCTTAACAATGTGTTCAGACAGACTTACCTTTTCAGTGTGTCTTTCACATCCTACAGTGAAAACAAAGACAAATGTGAGTGTGGGAAAATCAGCATGTCATGTCAGTTGACACATGGGTTACTTGCAGTGAACACCGCACCCAAGAAGCAGAGTGACCCAGCCTGAGACACCCACACATACCCAGGTAGAAAGATTCCCATCCCTGTCCCCTAGGATAGTCCCTGCAAGTGTGTGTAAGTGTGTGATCACACTTGCTCAAGCTTGTGGGGAGTCGTGGAGACTGTAGTCACATTAGCCTGTGACCACAGGACTTGATCATGTTACCTTTTGCTATAAGCGACCTAATTTCTTTCTGAGGAGCCCATATCAGAGATCACTGATGACAAATGTCCTCAGTGGTGAATCCATGCCCAAACCATGGTGCTGGGCCACTGAGGAGGAGGCAGCAGGTGTCACCTGCTGAGGGCGCTGTCACGCTACATCCTCATCCTGATAGTGTAACTACCAGTCCTGCAATAGCAGCTGGAGTCCAAGCATTTATTTTCACCCATTGGAAGCTTCAGGCAGCTGAAAGCAGGTCCCATAAGAGCCTATGGCCCATGACAATAAGTGAATCAGGAGAAGGTTATCATTTATTTTGGCTGCCTCACTCTATTCAAGAAATGGTTAGAAAGGGTTCCATGAACAGTTGATAGGGGCGAATAAATGGCCGGAAGCTCTACTGCGGTTCCATAAAAACAGGAAACCTCCGTGTCTACCCAGAGAAAGTTTAAATTTCTGATTCACATGCTGACTCCTGGACCTGCAAGGCCACCAGCGGACATGGACATAGATTTTTAAAGAATGTTTCTTTTATTTCAGTGCCACAATTAAGTGAAGTAGACAGGTCTCAGAAATCTCCCCAGGCTCCCTCGTCATTCTCCTCTCAATAGTCAGGAACAGATGAAACCTCCTTTCTTTCCCACAAGTTCACAGCCTTTTACCTGCATAAAATTCTGGGATGATTCTTGACATTTCTTCTCTAATTTCATCATGAGTTTCTCAAATTCAATACTCTGCTTGCCATACTGACTTGATCTTCCTGCAGTCTCCTCAGCAGCTGCTCTTTTTCTTTCTCCAGTCTCTGTAGATAATCCCTCTCCTCCTCATCGAGGAAGCTGTGGAGATTCCTAAACTCAGACTGGATTTCTCGTCTCCGAAGCTCTATGTTCTCCTAGAATCAAGAAAGTAGGCATAAAAGGGGGAAACAAACCCAACATACCTCTATGGTGAGTCAGTAAACACAGGTGGGCCGAGACACAGTGCAAATCTGCTCACCCCTAGGAGGAAAGCAAACTGTGACACGTGCCCAACTGGACTATCTTGAAGATTCATGCTGAGGGACATGAGCCATAGAGCAAAAGCGAAAGATGAATGAATGTTCTCATATGAGGTCCCTAGTCAAAATGAGAAACAAGAAGTGGAATGGTGGCTGCCAGGAGCTTGGAGGAGGAAGCAATGGAGTTATTGTTAATGGACATAGATTTTCTGGTTTGAATGCTGAAAAAGTTCTGCAGATGGAGAGTGGCAACGGCTAGAAAACAACTGAACACAATGCACTGGGCTGTTCAGTTAGAAATGAGGAAAATGGCAATGTCAGGTCATCTGTATTTAGCACAAACACCCCAGAAAAGTTTGCTTACCTGCTATGGGTCATTTTCCCCTGGGCCCTGGAGCTCAAAAAGCGCCCAGCTCCCTCTGCAGAGTCCAGCCCAAGAGGCTGACACTCAGATGTGGGAAAGATGATCCTAGCTCTCTTGGCACCTGCTCACTTTCCTTCATCTCATCCAGAGATAAAAGAGGAGAGGGCAGGAGTCGCAGAATCATGAAATTTGCCAAGATCAAAGAACTTATCATTTGTAAGAGAAAACCAAGCGTTAGTGGGGATGTAAGAAGCTATCTATGTGTGTGTGGGGGTGGGGAGAGGATTTCTTCAAATAAAGGCTTGTAACGAATATAAATGATTCTGAGTTGAAGACATCAGACTGGTAGGAATCTATGATTCTCAACACGGTGAGGTCTGAATAGTTACCAGAAATATTGTTGCCTTAAGCCAGGATTCAGTTACCATCCTGATGGATGAGACTAAAAAACACTGAGAGACTGGGTTTTCTCTGGGAGGACAGAATGTAATTCCATGGGTGCTTTCTCAAGTCACACTGTGCTTCAGTGACTGTGGTGTTGTGGGAGATGTTGTGGCACTGACATGGTTTCCTATATGGTGTGTAGCAGTAGAAGTTCTCCCCACTACCCCAGATTCCAGAAGGGAGGAGACAGAGGCAGTTGCAATGCTACAGTGACAAGGATCTCCACTTGCCAGTTGCTAGTAAGGCCCTCCAAACTTACAGGATTTTAACATGAGGATAGGAGGAGTTTAATTTCGCATATGACCATCTACAAAGAATAGGACAAATGTGGGAAGAAACCCTGAAAGAGGAAAATGACTCATAAATTTGATTACTAAGGATGGATTACATCCATATTTCCATAAAAGAAGTGTCTCTGATCCTGCAGGGGCTGGTCAGCCACGGACACTGTCTTAGAGACCCACAGTCTACAGTGCAAGTGTGTAAGTTCTTGCAGAGCTCTATCCTCATCGACAGTCTCACAAGCTTGAGTTATGGGATTGCCTCCTGCACTGGTCCTCTTTTTGTATTCACGAAAGCTGATATTGGAACTAGGAGGTTGAGTGTCAGACCCTGTGCTATGGTAAATGTGCCCAGGTGAGTTCATGATCTTCAGACAGGAGGTAATTTCAGTCACTGAAAACTTGAAATGTAAGGAGCACAACATTTTTGATTCTTCTGACGGAGGTTTTAGGCCACCTAGCCAATTACTATTCATAGAAACAGAAATCAGAGGAAAATTCTCCTAGATAGAGACAACTAATGGCAAATATTAAAGAAAAAGGCATATTCTTTGTGTTTCTACAGTTTGGTCTGATTTACTGAGAAAAAAATATCAATGAATATTTTTCCCAATCACCTAATTCTAGTCTGGAAAATAGTTTGAGATCAAGAAAATCAAAGTCTTACCTCCCATCGTGCTATTTCATTTTCCTTGACCAACTCCAGCTTCTTACAGAGGTCTTGCTCTCCCTTCAGTTTTGTCACAATCCCTGGACCTTTTCCTGAAGGAAAAATTGGGTGAGTTATGGCTTGTCCATTCCACAACTCTCATTTGACACTTAAAAGAATCCCAGGCTCCAAGATGTACAATAACATTGAATATATTTTTGAGTCCTTAGACTTTGAGAAGAAGCAACATAAGGGCATTCACGTAACTCATGCCCTCAGTGGCCCTGGGAAGTGGCAGGATTGTAACCTCTTTCTGTGCTGTAGGCCATCTGTGATTCCCAGCTCATCTGTGGACCATAGACTAAGCTATTTACATGACTGCAGTCTGCCAGGGACATGCAACATATAGTACAAGATTATAATCATCTAAAAGTACATTTTATAAAATAATGCCTGGACCAATCATAATACAGAGTGTTGGAAACACGTGGAACTTTTTACATGTGAAGGTGAGTCAGGTAGGAGTCCCAGGATGGCAGCTGAAGTTACAGAACCAGTTCTTGGCGGGGGGGGGGGTGGGGGTGACTCTGTTGTCACCTGAAGAACTGTCATGACGTCGACTTACAGTGATTAGTTTCCATACCTATCTCTGGGTTACTTGTCACACAGTTTCTCACATTTTCAGTCTCTGATGAGAGACGTAGAAACCAAGTCATGAAGGCAAAAACTAAGTAGCTCACAGCTTCCATCTAGAAAGAACTGAAACTCTTACCATATTTCGACCTCAGCAGTCTGACTTCTGCGACAACGACCATCAACTTTTATTGCTTTTTTTTAACTACTTGGTGGGCGAGTTATGGGATCTGCCCCATTACAGTGATGAGCTGCTCATGGGGTTACAGGGGGAGGTGAGTGCTCTGATGGTGCTCAGGACTGACACGCCCTGACACAGGATCCAGAACCTTCACACAAGACTCAGGCACAACAAGGATGAGGGACACAGAGCCCCACACTGGGGATGTTTCCTTCCAGTGTCAACAGGGCAGAGGAGGAAGGAATCCTGCTTCCTCATTCCTGCACAGCACAGGGAGCCTCACTTTAGCAGCTATTGTGTGAGAAACGTGGCGGTGCCTGAACCTCTCAAGGCTTCATCACTCACCGATTATTTCTAAATTCTTTAACTGTCCTTCTTAATCCTTGCTAAAACGTGTTTCCATCCTTTTTCTTAGAGAACTAACTTTGATTTTACTCCTTGATGTTTATTTTGTGCATGCAGAATGTTCTTTTAAGTGTCAGCCTGATCTTTCCCTCCACAAATAAAATCCCAACTTGGACCAGGATTTAGACTCTGAGAAACACCAGGGTTCCTTCTTAATTTCCTGTCTTATGGCCTCAACTGTCTTTCCAATCACACTCCCCCTGACCAGGTACTAGATAGTCAGGTGAGCTCTCATGACACGTGGTTTCCCCTGAGTTGGAATCCTCACTCCTCCACACACGGTTATTTTGAGTGTGTCCTTCTGGACTCACTTCTGGGCAGTCTCCCCTACACTCATTCCCACCCCTGTGTGGCCCCTCACCACCCACACCATGGGACATCAGGTGTCCTGTGTTCCTTCCTCACTCCTTATACTGTGGCTATCAAAAAGGCCGTGGTTCTGACCCCTGGGGTTTCAGATTCTTTCCTGTGCTCTTCCAAGCTGTGGTGTCTCCAATTAAATATTCGAGGTGAGGCCATGAAAGAGGCCCGTGTGGCAAAGAGCAAAATCTGTTGTCCAGGAGAAGTTCATTACAGGAAGTTCATTACAGGAAAGGATTCTGCTCAACCTTGAAGGTCAGGATGGACACGGGGTGGACATGTAATAAATTCAACATGGATGTGTAATAAACTATTTCAGGAAAATGATATGGTCCAAATTTATTTTAGGGTCAGGATAATGGTTTTCACTCCAACTGATTGGAGTGAAAATGCGCAACCTGAGAGGCAGTCCTTGCTAAAGTTTCTGGCTACTCACCCTGTAGCCTGGATACACGTCCTCCACTAGAGCCGTGCGGTGTCCTCTGTGCTGGGGGGAGTGTTCACAGCGCCAGCAGATGAGCTGCCCGTCGTCCTCACAGTACAGATGGAGCTTCTTCGCATGTACCTCACATAGCCTCTCACTGTCTATCTCCTTGAGAGGTTGTTTTTTTTTTTTTTTTTGTTTTGTTTTTTTTGTGGAACCCTCTCCGGCGGTTGGGGATTGAACCGGCGCTGCACAGGCTGGGACTGCTTCACAGCGAGGCACTCAAACGCTGTGCCACCAGGGGAGGCACTCTCCTTGAGAATTTGAATTATTTGAATGATGTTTTCCAGTTGCTTGTTGGATCGGAGACTCTCCCTTTGAAATGGTGCCCGGCACAGGGACATTGGGGCTCCCTCAGGGATGACGTCTCTTGTGGGTTCTCAAGGATGTCCTCTATGCACCGGCGGCAGAAGCTGTGCCCACAGTGGATGCTCACGGGCTCTGTCATCAGCTCCATGCAGATGGAGCATGTGGCTTCCTCCCTTATATTCTGGGTAGCTGTGGCTGAGGCCATGGCCCTTCCTGAAAAGCTCCAATATCAGGTTAGAGGCAGAGATGAAGTAGACAGGATTTTCCAGAGTGAAGGACAGAAGCCTCACCTGAGCCTCTGCGCCTGCACAGGTGTTGAAGTCTTCTCTCTGGAGAGAGAAATGGATGCAATTTGAAAGATGCCTCGCCTGTTCCTCTGTGGCAGAATAGGGTGATCCCAGTCATATTTGCCCACTTCAGTTTAGATTAAAATTCAGTCACATTTAAATTCAGCGTTTCAGTCTCACCAGCCATAATTAAATGCTTAGCATCTGAGAATGGTCCCAGGATATCCAAGTAGTGAATATTGCGTCATGGGAGACAGTGACAGTGCTCGGGTACTAACAGTGCTAGAGAAGGAAAGAGGGGCTCCCAAAAGTCGCGGGAGAGAAGAGAACTCAGGGAGGGAGAGTGAAACTCTCTCCATGTCTAATGAGCTTCGGGTGGAGTCGGCCCTGATTTCCTTCCTTGTCCTGCTAGCAACACTGAGGTGAATCGTTGGGGAGCAGAGTCCATGGAACAATCACCCTTGACTTTCCTCACACCCCCATGTCTGGTTCTCTGGACCCCACAAAGTAAAAGGGGCTCCAGGTTATTCAAGTTCCCATGGAGCCCACACTGAGGCAGGAGAGCTGGAGAGAGTGGTAGAGAAGGTGTTGGTGCTGGGAGCAGAGGCCCTTGGCACAAGGGAGGTGACTGTCTCCCTCCAGGGGAGGACAGGTCTCCCAGGACAAGGTCAGGGTGCCTGAGGCAGAGGGAATTTGCAGAGACAGGATGTGGGGAGGCAGGAGGCAGAGGGCAAGTCCTGTCCACTGTGGGGTCCTTGTGCTGGACCCCCCAGTGTCCACCAGTGAGGACTGAGAGTTGGAGACAGAGGAGCAGGGACCAGAGCAGAGGGTCTGCCCTCCCCACAGCTGCAGCTGCTCAGGCTCCCAGCCCTGCTGCCCTCCCCTTGCTGGGAGTGTGTGGGGAGGTGCTGAGGGAGGAAGTAGAGACCTTTCCTTTGCACTCATGGGCCTGGACTAAAAGCAGATCCAACCCAGGACCTGGATAGATTATTTCCCCCTATTTCAGGACTAGCCCTCGGAGCCAGAGCACATCTCTGCAGACTGCTCTCCCACGGAGGTGATTTCTCCCAGGGCCGCACCAGCCTTCCTTATGCCTGGGGTTGTGCTCCTGGGGATGCCCTTCCTCTGAAGTCCAAGTGCCTGCCCTTCGCTCATCCCACACCCTGATCTAAGACGTGAAATGGAGTCTTGAAAGAGAAAGCAGAGGAGGAGAGAGCTAGAAAGCAAGTCCTGACCAATTTTACTTGGCTGAGCTCCTCTTATTGCTCCCACCACACACACACAGACATCACAGTCCACCCCAGAGCAAACCTTGGCCTGGACAATTTCACTCCTCCTCACAGGACAGTCAGTCACAAAATCGCTGCCAGTCGCTTTGCAGCTCCATTTTCAGATGCCTGGAAGGGAAGTTCCTCTGACTAGAGTCAACTCAGAAATGAAACTGACGTGGGGCTGGTCCAGGTAGATGAGGGCGGAAACCTGTCAATATACCAAAGGTTGCACATTTGGATATCCTGACAGGGAGGAGCTTGGTAGGAACAGTACACTTCTCTCAGAGTAACAAGAGGGGACTATTTAAAATATCATGGTGACGTGACCTGGACAGTCAGGGGAGCAGACCCCTCACAGGGACAGGACACCCCTCCTGAGGCATCCAGCTCACAGACAGAGGGTGAATGTGCCCCTGGGTCCCTGATCCCATGATGACTCCCTGCCTCTCCCTCCACCGTCACTATCATGGATGAGACTCAGCACCGGGCACAGCTCATCCCCAGTTTTCAGTCAAAGGACCAGGAAAGGAGATGAGGGACCCCACAGAGGATCAACCACCCACAGAGCAGCAGCCTGATAAAGACAAGCTCATGACAGGGTCTGGCCTGTGACCACTGCCCCTTGACATCTGCTATGTGAAGGAGGGGTTCATGCAGAGCCCAGAGCTGAGAGTAGAGTCTCCAGAGAAATGTCCCCAATGAGGGGAGAGCCCAGTGCTTCATGTGAAACTCACTAAATTTGACCACTATAGTCTGACTCCTGAGGCTACGTCCATCACCTTGTGTGGCTTTATTTTATACTACTTGGTGGGCAAGTTATGGGATCTGCCCCGTTACAATGATGAGCTGCTCATGGGGTTAGAGGGGGAGGTGAGTGCTCTGATGGTGCTCAGGACTGACACGTCCTGACACAGGATCCAGAACCTTCACACAAGACACAGGCACTCAAGGATGAGGGACACAGCACCCACACTGGGGATGTTTCCTTCAAATGTCAGCAGGGCAGAGGAGGAATGAATCCCACTTCTTCATTCCTCCAGAGCACAGGACAGCTTTACTCAGAGCCACTGAGTGAGAAAATTTGGAGGTTCCTGAACCTGTCTGAAGTCTTCATCACTCACCGATTCTTTCTAAATCTTTCAACTCTCCTTCTTATTCCTTGCTACAGCCTGTTTCCATCCCCTTTCTTAGAGGACTAACTTTGATTTTACTCCTTGATGTTTATTTTGTGCATGCAGAATGTTCTTTTAATGTCATCCTGATCTTTCCTACCACAAATAAATTCCAGCTATGGACCAGTAGACTCTGAGTGACACTCAAGTTCTTTCCTTGACTCCCTTTCTTATGCCCTCACCTGCCTTTCCCATCACATACCCCCGAGAAGGTACTGGAATGTCAGGCAAGCTGCCGTGATAGGTAGTCTGCCTGAGTGGATCCTGTTTTTTTCACCACACATGTTTATTTACATTTTCCTGTCAGGACTCACTTCTGGGCAGAATCCCCCACACCCATTCACACCTCTTGGTGCGCACCCTCACAACCCACATGAAGGGACATGAGTGATCATGTGTTCCTTTTCTTACTCCGTGTAGACTGTAGGCTGTGGTTCTGACTTCTGGGATTTCACATGATGTCCTATACACTTGCATGTTGTGGTGTCTCCAATCATGTATTTGAGGGGAGGCTATGAATGAGGCAGGTTGGCAAAGAGCACAATGTATTGTCCAGCAGAAGTTCATTACAGGAAGTTCCTACTGGTATGGTTCTGACCAACTTTGAAGTTTGGCATAGATCACAGGACCTGACTCACTGGATCATAATAAACTACTCTTCAGAAAAAAGCATGATGGAAACATTTTTAGGGTCACAATCTTGGTGTTCAGACTAACTAATTTGAATCAAAATGCGCAACATAAGAGGAAGTACTTGCTGAAAGGAGTGGCCACTCACTCACCTTGTAGCCTGGACATACGTCCTCCGCTAGAGCCGTGCTGTGTCCTCTGTGCTGGGGGGAGCGCTCACAGCACCAGCAGATGAGCTGCCCGTCGTTCTCACAGAATAGGTGGAGATGCTCCCCGTGTTCCTCACACAGCCTCTCATTATCCACCTCCTTGATGCTCTCAATGAGGTTTTCCAGTGACTGTTGGGCAGAGACTTTCCCTTTGAAATGATGTTCCACCCAAGGGACAGAAACGCATCATCACAATTAATGCATAAGTACCTGGTTATGCACCTGCAGCAGAAGCTGTGCCCACAGTAGATGCTCACAGGCTCTGTCATCAGCTGCTGGCAGGTGGAGCAGGTGGCTTCCTCCCATCTTCCCGATTGCTGGGACTAAGGCCATGCTCTTCCTGAAAGTTCTACTGAGTATCTGTAGGCAGAGATGAATCAGACAGGATTTTCTGTGTGAAGGATTAAACCTCACCTGAGCCTCTGAGCCTGCACAGTGTTGAAGTCTTCTCTCTGGAGACATACCTGCCAATGGTCTGAGATAATCCAAGTAAAGAACATTCCTCATGGCAGAAAGTGTTCTTACCAGGTACTAGGAGAGAGAGAGAAGCAGACAGGTTTGCTAGCAACAGTTGTAGGAGAGAAGAGAAGTCAGGGAGGGAGAGAGATAGTCTCTCTGTATCAAAGGAACTTGGGAGGAGTCAGCCCCAAGTTCTGAGTTACTTCTTTGTCCTGCAGCAACAGAGGGAATGCTTTGGGAGAAGAGTGCATGGGGTCAGGGACACTTGACTTTCCTCACACCCCCATATATGGTTGTCTGGACCCACAAAGCTCAAAGAAAGCTTAATCCAGTTTTCATGGAGCCCACACTGAGGCAGGAGAGCTGGAGAGGGTGGTAGAGAAGGAGTTGGTGCTGAGAGCAGAGTCCCTGGGCACAAGGCAGGTGACAGTCTCCGTCCAGGGAGGACAGGTTTCCCAGGGCAAGGTTGGGTGCCTGAGGCAGAGAGAATTTGCAGAACCAGGCCTGTGGAGGCAGGAAGCAGAGGACAAGGCCTGTCCATTGTGGGTTCCTGTCCTGGACCCCCACTGTCCACCAGTGAGGACTGAGAGCTGGAGACAGAGGAGCAGAACCAGAGCAGAGGGTCTGCCCTTCCCCACAGCTGCAGCTGCTCAGGCTCCCAGCCCTGCTGCCCTCCCCTTGCTGGAGTGTGTGGGGAGGTGCTGAGGGAGGAAGTAGAGACCTTTCCGTTGCACTCACAGGGCCTGGACTAAAAGCAGATCCAACCCAAGGAACTGGATAGATTATTTCCCCCTATTTTCAGGACTAGCCCTCGGAGCCAGAGCACGTCTCTGCAGACTGCTCTCCCACGGAGGTGATTTCTCCCAAGGGCTGCACCAGCCTTCCTTATGCCTGGGGTTGTGCTCCTGGGATGCCCTTCCTCTGAACCCCAAGTGCCTGCCCTTCAGTCACCTCACACCCTGATCTCTGATGTGGCATGAAGTCTCCAAAGAGAAAGCAGAGGGAGAGAGATAGAAAGCAAAGTCCTGATTATTTGCACAGTTGGCGTGCTCCTTATTGCCACCCACCACCCACCACACACACACACACACACACACACACACACACTCACAGAGAGAGAAATCAATCCACCCAGAGCAACCTTGGCCTGGATTTTGCATTCCTCCACACACGACAGTCAGTCACAAAATCGCTGCTAGTCACTCTGCACCTCCATGTCCAAATTCCTGGAAGGTAAGTTCCTCTGACTAGAGTCAACTCAGAAATGAAACTGATGTGGGGCAGGTCCAGATAGATGAAAGGGGAGACTTCTTAAAATGCCATAAGTTTTACACTCAGGAATCCTGACTGGAGGACCTGGTAGGAACAGCACCCTTCCTTCAGAGCAAAAACAGAGGGGACAAATTAAAATGTGATCATGACCTGACAGAGCATGTGAGGCTGGCCTCACATGGGAAGGGAGAGGCCCCTCTTGAGGCATCAGATTCACAGACAGAGGTCCCTGTTCCCATGATGACTCCTGGCATCTGCCTCCACTGTCACTGTCGTGGATGAGACTCTGCACTGGGCACAGCTCATCCCGAGTTGTCTTGTTAGAGGACCAGGAAAGGAGATGAGGGAACCCAAAGGGGATCAACCACCCACACACAGCAGAGCCAGAGAAAGACAAGCTCATGACAGCGTCTGTCTTGTGACCTCTGCGCCCCCGGCACCTGCTGTGTGAAGGAGGGGATCATGCAGTGGTCAAAGCTGAGAGGGCATGGATGCAGTAGAGCCCTCAGAGATATGTCCCCTAAGTGGGAAGAGTCCAGTGCTTCAGGCGATGTGTGTGATGTGGTGAGACAACTAGCCGAACAGTGGGGCAGCACCTGGGGGTGCTTACCTCTTAATGGGGAGTCTAGTTTGTTAGATCTCAAAGAATTGGTATGGGAGAGATCACTGGAGTCCCTTAATAGGCCTGTAGTCCTAGTGATAACTTTGTGGGGAATCATCACCCCACATCCCTAAGGTGTTTTTTCCTCAAATCCTTCAGCACTCCCCTCAACCAGGACTAGTGTGACTTCCTATTTAAAATTCATCCCCTTCCCAGGTGCAAACCTACTCCCAGGCTATTTTGTTTCCATTACACTGATCACTGAATATTTATTTATCTTGCTTACTTCCTGCCTTCCTCATGAGCATGCAAGTCCCACAAGATCATGGGTTTGTGCTGGCATCTTTCACTGATGAATCCCCAGTATCTAGTAGCTTCAGCACAGAGCTGTGAAATAAGAGATTTTCCACGCTGCACTCAGCAGTATTGATGACGTGCATGCAGACTGGGTGATGTGTTGTGGTTGGGGACAATTGAGGGTGTGATAGTGTGTGTTGCATGTAAGTGACACAGCTTGTGTGTGTGTAATGTCATGTGGTATGTATGATTGTTACCAAGCAAAACCCATGTTTGTCTGTGTTTTAGATGTTCTCGGTTTTGTGCACTTTGTTGGAAGGACTTTGTAGCAGTGTGATGGATTCTCTGTGGTGTGCTGACTGGCTGTGTTTGTTGTGTGTGTTTGTGTTGTGTGCCCACAGATTAGACTCGAACTGGTTCCAGAAATTACCAGAATCTCTGGAAGGGACAGATTTCCCAAGAACTGTTTCTTACCCTTTGAAAAAATAAAATTGGGAAAAAGAGCTGGGACTGGGAAAGTAGCCTTGAGGAGGTTTGAGGAGATCATATTACAAAAGTGATGACAGCAGGGAGAAGAGAGTAGGATCAAAACAAGGTGCTGGGAATTTTATGAGGACGGTAACAACATAAAGTGTATACATTTTACAAAAATGAATAATGATGTAAAAATATATGAAATAAAATTAAAACAAACAAGCAAAAAAACAAAAATGATGGCAAACTAATGATTACTACGGGGGAGAAAGAGGCAAGAATTAGAGGCAGGAAGAGAGAGCCCAGGATGATGGGTGTAAACAATACAGGTCGGGAGGAGTCTGATAATTCAGAATGATGGTATCACAAAGGACTTCCGCAGTAGAAATCTTAGCATCCTTTGTAACTGTGCATTCTCTCTCTCTCCGTCCTCTCTCTGTCTCTCAGCATAGATGGCCCTTTCAGTTGGAGCTTGCTCCGACGTGCGATGAGCTGACACATGGTAATTTTCCTTCAGTGGCCCAGGAACAGCTGGGAATTTATTGAACACCAACTATGTGACAGGCCCTAGCCCCGTGTACCCTGTGTGTTAATATAATCCTCCTTAATACAATTTCTGAAGTTTAAAACATGACAGAATGAATAAAAATTTTCTATTGGCCTCAAAACCTAATTGAGCAGGCAGAAGAGTATGGTCCTCCCAGTCTGAGGAAACAAAATGAGAAAAATGTAAAGAGAAATGAATTGTGCTTCAGAGACATGTGGGATACCATCAAATATACCTTCTTACCTAGAATGACATTCACGTAAGAAGAGCACAGGGTGAAAAATAAAGAGCACACTCTAAATTATCAATGGATGAAAGAGAACATGACAAGAAAGTTAGAAAAATATGGAGGCTTTGAATGAGTGAAAATGAAAATCAACACTCCAAACTTTAGGGGCTGCCGTAACAGCAGGGCCTAGGAGATGACAGATGTAAAAGCCACTATCATAGTCAAAAGCTCTTAAATCACTAACTTCACCTTCTTGTTCAAGGCAGAAAGAGCAAATGAAAACCAAAGCAAACAGAAGGACACCAATGGCCATGAGATGGGGGTTCATGAAGAACAGAAAATCAATGTCAACAAACGTCAGTCCTTTTAAAAGACTAACACATTCAAGAAATCTTTTAGCTACAATAACCAATGACAATACAGTAAGACGGAAATTACTTACTTGTTCTAACTACTGAGGGTGGCACAACAGCATATCTGCAAGCAAAAGAATGAAAGTGGAGACTTGCATTACATCATATACAGCACTCAAAATGAACCACAGATCTAAATGTAGTAACAGAAATGGTTAACACCTTTTGAGAGAAGCACAGGGAAAACTCTTGTTACATTGGGCTCACCAAAGGCAGCAGTTATTTGCATGGCAGCAAAACACAAGGAATAAAAGTAGAAATACCTGGATGAATAGCAACAACACTGAAGGTTCTTGAGCTTCACTGGACTCCATTCAGAATGTGAAAGGACAGCTCAGAGAATGACAGAAAGATTCTGAATTACAGAGGTGATAAGGGACATACCTAGAACTGTAATTAGCATGTAAAACTTTTACAGGGCTCCCTGGTGGTATAAGGGTTAAGCACAGTGTTATGAAGCTGTCCATAGTGACTGCAGCTGGAGTTCCAACTCCAGCTGGCCAGAGAGCTACTGACATGACGCAGCAGACATCTCCTGTCTTGCCCCCTGTTCCCCTCAGCAGTGCATTTCATCAGTCTGCCTGTTCTGTTCCCCACTCTGTCTCTAGTGAATCCTCTCACCTCCTGCACCACTGGCCAGTCCCAGTTCCTATATGCATAAATAAATCTTTTAAAAAACATTTTTACATC